GTTGGGGTTGGGCGTGGCCTGGCTGTGGCAGGCTCAGGAGGGAGGAGGAGGGGAGCTGGGACCGTGGAGCCTCTTCAGTATGTGAGGTGTCTGCTCACTGGGTGTTTGACCAACGTTGCTTGGGCAGCCTGGATTCCCATTCTCCAACCTGACCTGCGTCCTCTGAACACTTACCTTTTGCTGGGTGATCGAATGCTGGCATCTAATTTGCTGAGAAACCCATGCAGATGCAGTGATGTGTGTTGTTGCCTGCCAGTCTGGCCTTGCGTGGTGTGTGCATCTGCCCTCCAGGGGCTCTGTACTCTGCCCATAATCTTCTCCTTTACAATGAGATATTCTGCACTCCTGTGTATATCTCAGTAATGTCCCTTCTCTTCTGGCCCATTTGGCCTCCTGGCGGGAAGAGCCACTCATTCTCTTGTTTTTGCCTTTGTGTAGGTTCAGATTGACCCCTACCTGGAAGATTCTCTCTGTCATATCTGCAGTTCTCAGCCTGGTCCTTTCTTCTGTCGAGATCAGGTAAGTCCCCTGGGCACTTCAGATGTCTAGGAAGTCCCCGCCCTCAGTTAAAAATTGTCATGCCACATTTGTCTCTAGGTTGGTGCTCTTGGGGTTGTCTAAGAAAGCACAAAGGAGGCAGCAGTCATATTCCCTGATGGTCAGACCAGGGGAAACAAGCCCTTGGGAAAGCCTGTTAAGTCTTGATACCTTGGCCTTCCCCTTGCTTGTGGCACGACCACCAACAGGATGTCTTTGTGGACGGAAGGAACCTGGGTGGGTATGGTCAGCAGCACCTCTGAGCCAGGCAGAGTAGTTCTAACTCAGGCCTTTCCCCATTGATCTTGCCCTACTCAAGGACCCCTTCCTCACTTGTGAGCCTCTGGACTCTTGATATTTATACCTGGTTTCTATCCACAGTTGTCAGAAGTGGGCAGCTTTCTGTTGAATGTTCCTGGGTGGTGGGAGCAGGGCTCTGGGTGTGTTTGGGCAGTGTTTCTCATATGTTAAAACACACATTTGAGGATGTTGTTTAAATGCAGATTCTGACTCCGTGGGTTTGGAGTGGAACCTGAGATTCCTTATTTCTGACAAGTTTCCAAGTGATGTCAGTGTGGCTGGCCTGGTACACTTGGACAAGAGTTAGGGGAGGTTTGGGGCCTGTTCAGACACTAGCAGTCAACCATGCTTGGTTTTTTTTGCAGTGGTGCTTATTGCTCAGGGTCAGAGGCTCCAGGTAGGTAAAAGTTAAACCGGAGGCTCCAAAGGGAGGGTGTGAGTAAATTTGGGTTGTTGGGCAAAGCCCAGAACAAGTATCTCTCTGCTGAGCCTCTTCTAGCAGACTTCTGTGTGTCCCTATTGTTCACAGATGAACCCCATGTTCAGGCAGTTGTTCAAAGGCTGGTAGGCTGGCTGAGGTTGCATGGCCAGCCAGAGGTAGGACCAGACTGTGGGGCATACCCCGTCGCCTCTCCTCACTTAGTGTGAAGAGGAAGGCATGTTGCCCAGCATTAGGACGTGTAGCCGCTGTCTTTGAATGTTCTCCTAAATTAGCAGCCATCTGACGCAGCTGCTCTGTAGGAGGTGAGAAGGGCCGGGACCTACGAGCAGCCCTGGTGGTAGGAGAGCGTGCGGGCAGCTGGCTCCATCTCTGCACAGTAGGAACCCCTCACGTTTGCTTGAGTTGGGCACGTAGACAGTGGGTTTGCCACAGCTGGTCAGGCCTCCGTCAGCAGGGAGGACGTTCCCCAAGACCATGCCTTCTGACTGCATGGAGGCCGCCAGGAACCCCTGCTCCCTCTCCAGCAGAGCAGGCAGCTCATGCAGGCCCCCCTCCCCTCCGGTCTGACGCGGGTATGGCTTCTCTCCTCCTCCTCCCCCAACCAGGTGTGCTTCAAATACTTCTGCCGGAGCTGCTGGCACTGGCGGCACAGCATGGAGGGCCTGCGCCACCACAGCCCCCTGATGCGGAACCAGAAGAACCGAGACGCCAGCTAGAGGGGCAGGCCGTGCCCAGTGGCCTGTGGCGCCCAAGGCTGGCAGGTCAGGCAGCCGCCTGCACCCTCCTGCCCCTGGCGACCAGGGAGCTGGCTTCCCAAGGACAAGGGAAAATCGTAGTCACCTTTGCACTTGCTGAATCTGTCTTTGTTTCTGCACTAATTAATGCACAATGAGTTCTGTCGGGTTTTGTTTTCAGGGGGTGCGCCAGGGCAAGGACCCTCTGGCTCACCCTCCAAGCGACTCTGTAGTTTTCCCAGATTTTAGTTCCTCATTTTGCCGATGAAAAGCAAAAAAGAACTACGTGTCCGGAAGGTATTGACACGATGCCTACATCTAGGTTTATTTATTAAAAGCGCTTTTTTACATTCCTTGCAATACTGATGGTGGTGATGCGCAGGTCTCGTTGGTTTCATTCTTGCAGTTGCCATACAGTGCCTTTCCATTTATTTAACCCCCACCTGAACGGCATAAACTGAGTGTTCAGCTGGTGTTTTTTACTGTAAACAACAAGGAGACTTTGCTCTTCATTTAAACCAAAATCATATTTCATATTTTACGCTCGAGGGTTTTTACCGGTTCCTTTTTACACTCCTTAAAACAGTTTTTAAGTCGTTTGGAACAAGAGATTTTTTTTCTTTCCTGGCAGCTTTTAACATTATAGCAAATTTGTGTCTGGGGGACTGCTGGTCACTGTTTCTCACAGTTGCAAATCAAGGCATTTGCAACCAAGAATAAAAAATTTTTTTTGGATTTGAAACTGGACCGGATAAACGGTATTTGAGCGGCTGCTGTATATAGTTTTAAATGGTTTATTGCACCTTCTTAAGTTGCACTTATGTGGGGGGGAGGGTTGATAGAAGTTTTTAATCACAAAGTCACAGGACTTTTTTTTCTTTTGTAACTGAGCTAAAAAGGGCTGCTTTTTGGTGGGGGCAGATGAAGGCTCACAGGAGCCCTTTCTCTCAGAGGGGACAAGTACCCTTCCCTTATTTCTTTCATTTGAGAAGTGTATGAAGCAACAGTTGCAGTCACTGAAATGCTACTGGAATTTGAAAACTTGACTTTTTCTTTCTTCTTTTTTAAAAAAAAAAAGAAAACAAAAAACCTACTTGCCCCTCTTTGGGAAGCTGTGTGCCAAAGAACCAGTGTCATAACCCCCCCCTCCCTCCTGCTGAGCTGACGTTGCATTGTTGCATATCCCAGCTACTCTGTGGGTTTTGTGAAGCTGTGTGTGAAGTCTCTACCTCATTGTAGTATATGCAGGCAAGACTGCACTCTCCTACAGATGTGTGGAGTAAGCTGTGGTGTAGTTTTTTTGGCACATAATAAACACGTTGCAGCAGAGTTCTCGTCTGTCTCTCTGTGTCTGTGGTGTGGGAGCCAAGGGGCAGTAGGGTAATAAGACTTGAGAGTAAAAATTCATGTTTCCTTGGATTTTCTGTGATGGGATTCCAGCCCAGGTTGATGGTGGGGTCATGGGGAGATCTGCCCTGTCAGTACTTCTTGGTCACTTCTGTGGTCAAATGCACCTCAGAGACGCCTCTCTGGCGGGTGGGTAGCTTTGCTCCAGGCATAAAAAGCCGTCATGCTTACACTTCTCAAAGCTCCAGACGCAGCTTGGAGAAACTGGAGGCACAGCTCCTCAGGCCACTTGTTCTCAAGCTCTCCCAAGCTTTCTCGGAAGGCTTTCCATTGCCTTGGACTCACCTGTGCTTGACCCAGTTCCTTTCTAAGAGGGAGAAATTTACTTGCTGCTCTTCAGAGAGCCCTGTTAATTTGGATTCTATCACAGGCTCCCAGGATTTGTGTGAGGGTCCGACGATGCTCTTTCCAGGTAGGTTGTGCCTGGGCCCAGTGCCCGGACTGAGCCTTTGGATTCCACTTTAGTCTGAGGTAGAGGGAACGTGGCACAGCAAAGCATCCCTCTGGTGAGAGGTGTAAGAACTGTTGGAGGGGGTGGGGGAGTCCTTCAGCCAAGACACAAAGGCCTCATCTTTTTACTCGAGGTCTGGCTGGCAGATGCTGGACAGGAAGTTTGCTGATAGAATAAGTTCCTGCAACTCCCTCAGAGGAGCGTGAGCGTCCCTTTTGGTCTCTGCTTTTTCTCCTTTCTCCTGCGGAGGCATCTTTCCTCCGTCCCCATCTTGTCCAGGGGCCACTTTCAGGTAGAGGGCTTCTTGTCCTCCTTCCATTCCCAGTCAGTTCAAAGTCTGACGGCCCTGGCCAAGGTGACCAGAGTGAGTTGGATGAGGCCCAGCCCCGTGCCCCTGAACTCCTGCAACCTGGCCAGTCCAGCCTGGCCTTCAGAAGGCCTGGCTTGGGGATGGGTGCGGCAGCAACAGCCTGAAGCCTGTACTGGCTGGAGGAGGTGCCCCAGTGGTTGGGAGCGCTGCAGGCGAACTGGGCCCTCTGCTTCCACGTTTGAGAGCTTGCTTTGTCGGGGGCACTGGGGACTAGCGAAGCAAAACGGCCTTTACTGTGATAGAGCTCACCCTTAGTTGAGGAAACTGACAAGTCACCATGACAAGCAGCTTAAAAAGGATGGCAATGCTAAAAAAGGATAGAACGGAAAGCCCTTCTGATAAGGTGACGCTGGAGCAAAGACTTGGAAGAAACGGGATAAGCGTCTCCCAGTGGCGCCCTTCTCCCCCGGGCTAGAAAAGCAAGTCCCTGAGGCTGGGGGTCCTGGGCGGGGCACCATCTACCTCCTTACCTTTCCTCGCTCCCGAATCGCCGTCCCAAGGACTCTAAAGCCTCCCTCCGTCTCGCTGGCGTGTGCAGAATACATGCACCCCTTCTAGTCTAGGGCACATCGAATGATCCTGTCTCAGAACCAAGAAGCAGAAGAAGCGGGCCGACAGAACGCTAAGAGAGGCGGGGAGCGGGAGCTGCGCCCACGGCGGCGGCGGGGGGGGGCGCGGAGGCGGGCCAGGAATTTGCCCCGCCCACCAGGTGCCGGCAGGCCCCCTGCACTTCCGCCCCGCCTCGCCGGGGGTCGCTGTGGAGCACCCACTTCGGCTCTGCCTGTCCCGGGTTAGCCGGAAGCGCCTTTCTGGCCGCGCTTTATAGGCCTCGCTTGTGTTTCCTGTTTCCTCTTTTACTATACCCGCCAACATGGTAGGTATCTTGGCCCGGAGCCTCGGTCTCCTACAATCGTCCTCCATCCTCTGCTTCCCGCGGCCTCCAGCCCTCGGGGAGGGGCGCGGCACCCCCGCGCCCCCGGCCTCCGCGGGCCACTGGCCTCCGCGCTGAGCCCCGCGCTCTGGCGCTGCCCGGCCGGCCCTCCTCCCGTCCCGGGCTCAGCCACAGCCCGCGAACCCCGCCGCCGTCGGAGGGCTGTCCCGGCTCGCGGGTGACGCTGTGTTCTCCCACCCGCAGGGCCGCGTCCGCACCAAAACCGTGAAGAAGGCGGCCCGGGTCATCATTGAGAAGTACTACACGCGCCTGGGCAACGACTTCCACACCAACAAGCGCGTGTGCGAGGAGATCGCCATCATCCCCAGCAAGAAGCTCCGCAACAAGATCGCAGGGTGAGCTGGCGGAGAGGAGCGCGGGAGGGGCGCGCTGCGGGCCTCCCTGCGCGGCCACGTCGGGGGCTTGGGGAGGCGGCAGGGCGGGGTGGGAGGGTTCGCGGCTTGGGCGGGCTGCGGTGAGCCGCTCTGTGCGCCCGGGCGGAGCCCCGGCCCTTGTCCCTGCGGCGTCCGCGGCCTCACGGTGCTCGTGGCCGTGTGTCCTTTGCAGCTATGTCACACACCTGATGAAGCGGATTCAGAGGGGCCCGGTGCGAGGCATCTCCATCAAGCTGCAGGAGGAGGAGAGAGAAAGGAGGGATAATTACGTGCCCGAGGTAAACTTGCGGGGTCTGGCTCATCCTCAAAGATGGAGCAGGGTGCTGAGAACCTTGAGAGGTCCCTCTGGCGAGTCTGAGGAAGGGGGTCTCTTATGCATAGAGCACCCCGCCCCGGCCAGCTGTAGTGCCCCAAATCATCTGCCTGTGTGATCGCCCCTTCTGCCCTGCTGGGGCCCTTGAGGTCCCTTCTGGTTCTTCCCAGCGGAGCCCTTGATCCTGTGCGTTTCATGGTTTGCCTTAGCATAGCATTCCTGAGTTGTTCGCCTCCTGCGGAGGTTTTCTGCAAACTGGTTGGATGTAAACGAGGGAATTACAGAGGTAGAAGCAGAAGAGCAGATCCCTGGGACCTGGAATTCTTAGGCAGACTGCTCACCTTGGGGGATGCCGGCCCCCACCCCGTTATCTCTCGTTGAAGAATCTTGGAGAAGCGTGCAGAGAGTGAGAGATGACCCACTGATTGTTTGGGGGCCTGCCCTGTTCCTTCTAGGTCTCAGCCCTGGATCAGGAGATCATTGAAGTAGACCCTGACACTAAGGAAATGTTGAAACTCTTGGTAAGTGTTGGCTGAGTTCCTAAAGGAGGACTTTATCTCTGGTCGAGGACCATCTGTAGTTTTCTCCTGTCTGTAGTAACAGGAGCTACGTTCTTCATACATTTCCTTTGTCCTCACTGTGTCCCGAGAGGCACATCCTGTTACCTACTCTTCCTACCTGAGGAAATGTAACTTGAAGATTAATGGGTGGCAGGGTTGGGAATTCCGTCTACACTGCTAACCACTGGACAGGCTGCCTCCAAAATGGGGTTAGCTAGTTGAAGGTGGAGATGGCCCTCCACAGGAAGAGAGTTCCGGAAGCCATGACCATTCCCCCATGACTTCCAGGACAACCTTCCTCCCTTCTCTCCTGTTCGCTTCTTGCCTCTGTGGCTGCTCCTCACATTTGGCTCCTCGGTTCCAGCTCTGATTGTCTTTTCATTTCACTCTTCGTGCCTTCACTCGGGGACTTCACTCCTTGTGCGTCTGTATGCTGACCACTCCAAAGAACTGTGCTCTGCTTTCCCCATACTTCCCAGATAGTTGAGCTGTCTTCATGGGGCTTCTCTCTGCAGTGGTACATAGTTTGGTGAAGGCAGCATGGCTTCAGAGTCCAGTACACAGTGACTTGAAGCAACTTCATTTTTTCTTCTTTATGACCATGAAATGTGAGAGGTAATGAACAAAATAAACTTCAATGTACTCACCAGCCAGTTTCAGAAAAAATTACCAGCAAAGCTAAAGTCTGTTGTGGATAATTTTCTCCAGAAATAATCAGTCCTCAATGCAACTTTTTAGTTTCAGCTATAAAATTGGTTTTTGAGGATAAAATGGGAGGGACGTTAAGTTCCAGGTATGTGGCAGGCCCTTGGCAGTTGCATTAGTGATGCTTCCTACTTGTGTCAGGCCCTGGAAAGGAAATGGAACTGTATGTGACCTAGAGCAGTGATTCTCAAAGGACAAGATTTTGACCGTCAGGACATTTGGTAATGTCCGAACACGTTTGGTTGTCAGAGCTTGGAATACTAGGAGACATTAGTGGATAGAGGCCAGGGATGCTGCTAAAAATCCTACCGTGTACAGGACAGCACCTTTGTCTGGGTGTTGGGGTGCATGTGCCTTTAGATCTCAAGTAGGCTCCCTTGTGAGTTTATTCTGGGGCAGGGAGAAGGCCTCTGTTGGGTTTCTGCAGGGTCCTGACAACCTGACCCCAAGCTAGTGGAGGCAGACAGGCATGGCCTGGCAGTGCTCCTGGGACTTTCAGCACAGATCTCACCAATATAGCCACACTGAACCTATTTTGTTGTTTTTCCAGGACTTTGGCAGTCTGTCCAACCTGCAGGTCACTCAGCCTACAGTTGGGATGAATTTCAAAACACCACGTGGAGCCGTTTGAATCTTTCTGCTGTGCTGTAATATCTTCAATAAACCTTGGACAACAACCTTGCCTGTGTCCTGTGTGGGTTGGGTGCCAGCGGTGCTAAGGGCAGGAGTTCTCTCTTAGGGAGAAATCCTGAAGAGCGCTCTGCAGTGGGAGCATCTGTAAGTGGCCTTTGGGCAGTGCCCATACAGTGGGTGTGTTGAAGACCTGAGCCACCCTGCCTCGTCCTGGCAGGCGCTGAGCACTAACCTTGGCTTCAGGTGGAAGTCAGGAGATGCTTTCCCTCTCGCCCCGCGTGCCCTGAGTGTTTGATCCTCGGCCTCCCCCAGATACATACAATCAGGGCTAATGAACCTGCCCTGAGAGGGGTAACAGTCCTCACATCTTTGAGGGTTGGGCTTTGCAGGTGGGAGATAGGATGAGTGGTGTCTGCCTAGTACCTGGCACATAGGAGATGCAAGTGGGAGTGGAGGTGGAGGAGGGTCAGTATAACTGGGATGCTCGCTGGGAGGATCCTCAATAGGTCGCTTTGAGTTTAGGGGTCTTCTGAGGCTGTGGGTCAAAGACAGGGCAGGGCTGCTGCCTGCTCTTCAGTAGTGAGGAGAAGGAGCTGTTGTTCAGTTGGTGATCCACACATTTATCTGCTTTTCTGTCCAGGGTGAAGCTGGGCATGTTTGCAAGCGTGGGTGTCGAGATCTTTGCAAGGAGGTGGCAGAACCCTTGCCTATCTGTTTCTGTGAGGCAGATAGATACAGCAAACAATGTAAAAATGCGTAACAATTTTGATAGGATTTCAGACTTGGAGAAAGGTTACAAATACAGTACAAGGAACTTCAAATACTCAGACTCAAATCCTCAGATCTACCAATTGTTCAATTTTGCCCCAGTTGCTTTATACTGTGTGTGTGCGCGCATATTCATAGGCATTTTTTTCTGGTCTATTGAGGTAAGTTAGAGGCATGTCCTCTTGCCCCAAATATTTCTCTTTCCTAGGAACAAGGATATTTTTACAAAACCACAGTACGATGTTCAAAATCAGGAAATTTAACATTGATGGCAACCGTATCAATTTTTGCCGATTTCCCAGTGTCTCGTAGTTCTTTTTCCCTGGTCCAGGATCCGACCCAGAATCACTGACTGCACCTAGTGTTCATGTCCCTCCAGCCTCCTTTCCATGTCTTTTCATGACATCTTTGAAAAGTATTGTCTGACATTGTAGAATGTCCTTCAGTTTGGGTGGTTTCATGTTTCCTTAGTGAGATTTAATTTACCTTTTACTGTAGGAAGACCCCAGAAGTGATACTGTTCTTGGCGCATCGAATTGAGAGGAGCAGGATCAGCTTGTCACATTTGTGATGTTTACTTCGAGCTCTTGAATTAAGGCACACCTGTCAAGTTTCTCCATTGTGAATTTTTCCACTTTGTAATTATAAGCTTGTGGGGAGATTAATGTTATTTTAACTTCATGAGGAAGCTTTGTCTCACAGCAAACTTTTGTTTCCATCTTTTGGTGTGGGGTCTGGCGTTCCCAGCAAATACTCTTGCCTTCTAAACACGACCTGGGTTTTGGTCTGCGGAGAGGAAAGGGTTGGGCTCTGCGTGGGGGGTGGTTAAGGAAAGGGTCCAACGTGAAGCGGGTTAGCGGGGCAGCTCCCAGTGACGTTTGAGGTGCCGTTGCTCCTGGCCTGGGACCAGGCTAGGTAACTGTAGGTCGGGGCTCACGTACCGGAGCTGGGCGGCCCGCAGAAGCTGCTTTAGGCTCCGGCAGCGCGGAGGAGCTTCTCTAGGCCTCAGTACTTCCCTCTGTAGGGGAGGACAGGTGCTCCTCCCAACTTCGTGCGGCGTCTGTGGGAAACAGGTGGCCAGGCCCCGCCCCCGGGGGCTGGGATTGGGGCTTCCGGAGGTGGGCGGGGCCGACGCAGGTGCATCCCGCGAGCTCCGCGGGCGGCGGGAGCCAAGTTGGCCCGGGGTCTCCTCGGGGCTTGGGTCCGACGATGCAGCCGGCATAAACACACTGGACAGATTTTCGCCTCCCGTGTCAGGGAGACTCTGCTCCTTCACGATTGGACAGTGCTCCAGAAACCTTTGAAGGTAATTTTTTCCTATTTTTCTGATCATCCTTGGTTATTTGTGTTAAAGGATAATTTACAACACATACAAAAAAAGGGAAATGACTCTCCTACAGATATCAAATGAACACAAGGTAAGTTTTTTTTTTTTTTTTTAACTCTGAGGGAACTGAGAACATGTCACTATCAGTTCAAAGGAGAAGTCACAGAAGGACGAATGTGGAGTCAAGGAATGTTGAAATGAATTATAAATGGACACCAAACACTTTTTCCACAGGAGTGAAGTCAACTGACTTCCTACCCAACAGAATTTATGTATTTGCACGTCTATAGATAAGGATTCTTGGCTTGCTCTCAGGTATTTGCAAGTTACAGAGCTGTAAGTAGCAGGGCCAGGAAGGGGGAGGGCAGCGGCTCTGGAACCCCAAGCAGAAGCCAAAGGGTTATTGCTCCTCACAATCCGTGGCTGTGCATTCAAACAGAAATTTCCCCTCTCTTTCTGAAAATTCATACTTGTTCTGTATCGTCTCTGCCATCAGGATTTTCCACTTCATTAGTATATAGTCCGTAGTTTTCTCTCAAAATTAGAAAAACCCCCATCTGTTACTTATCATTTTAAATGTTGTGTTTTCTTTCTTTGCTAACTAAGTTAAACTTGTCAGATGTTTGACTATTTTATCATTTCGAAAAACCAGCACTTGAAGTTTTACCCTTCTACTTTATCTGAGGTGCCTCTGTTTCTCATTAGATATTGGAGAAAAACAAACAACCCGATTCAGTTGTGAAGGATGTGACCAAAGCTCATTTTCTCTTTTTCCACAGCAGGGGTCAGCAAACTGGCTGGCGGGCTGTGTGTGAGCCTGGAATGGCTAGGAGCGGTTTTTACATTTCGAAGTGGCTTAAAATAACCACAGGAGGACAATAATGTGAGCTGTGAAAACTGTATGAAATTCATGTGTCCGTACGTTTTATTGGGACACAGCCACGTTCCTTTACATATTATATATGCCTATTTCCCTGCTATAATGGCTGAATTGAAATTGTTGCAACACAGTACAGGACACTCATCACTTCGCACAACAAATCGCAGTTACCTGTTTATAACTCAATAGTGTTTCAAGGGTCATACCTAATCACCATGTTGAGACATCTTATTTTCTGAAAATTATTAGTGCATACTCAACCTTGAAAAGAGAAAACTGGGCTTTGAGTGTTGTACTTTCAAGGTAGGAGTAGCTCATTCGTGAGCCAAGCAAGGAGAGCTTATCAATGGTGAGTGAATTTCTCTGGAAGAAATATGTCCAGAGAATATAAACTTACTTTTTAAGACTGTTAGCCTTTGAGTTGCAAATGGTAGCTTGAAGAGGTGAGAACATCGGGAGTGACAGAGAATTTAAAAACAAGGCAAATGATTTTGAATGGTTTTCCTTGGATCTTGATGAGTCAGAAAATGTTATCAATACCACTCAGGTGTTTATGCAGGAGTTGATGCTGAGTTTGAAGAGACTGAGGAATTAGCCTCTGAATAGTCCACTCAGAAGGACTACAGGTGAGAATATTTTTAAGGATGAGAAGTAACTAATTCAATATAACCTGAGCTAATGTTACAACTGGTGGTGGTAGAAATCTATATGTCCAAAGGCTTCTTTGGACAAATTTCAAAGCTTGCATGGTTAAAATGTTTAAAACCTTATTCATCAGTAGGTATTTTGCAGAAAGTATCTCACAGTACTTGAACCAGTTCTGTTAACAATACGTTTCATTTGCTCTCAGACTTAACCATCATTCAGTTCCATGAATTTTGTTTTGAATTATGGTAACACATAGATAATATTTATCATTTTAACCACTCGTAAGTGTACAAATCAGTGGCATAAATACTTTTGCCATGTTACCTTGACCACCATCACTGTCTAAATTTTTTCATTGATTCTAACAAGAATTCTACGCATTAAACAATAACTTCCCATTTTCCGAACCCCAGCCCCTAGTAACCTTTATTCTGCTTTCCGTCTCTATGAGTTTGCGTATTCTAGGTGCCTCACATAAGCAGATTCATATAGTATTTGTCTTTTCGGTGACTGGCTTATCGTACTAAGCATGGTCTACCCATGCTGTTTTTGTTGTTGTTTTTTGAGGATGGCCTGTGAACCAGCTGAAACATTTGATGATTTGGCAAATGTTTGTGCCTTAAAAGGCTGTGCTTGAAACACGACCTCTGCGAAGGGTCTGAGGATCAAACCACAGGGTTTGATTGCAGTATTGTTTCGGTATGTCACCTAGGTATGGCTAATGAGAGCTAGCTCTGTTTTCTCCCGATATCTTTACCTGAGCAAGGGACAGTCCTTGAGTTTCCATAAAGGTTTCTCTGAGCCCAGTGGACTCATTTCAAGGAGAAGTAGAATGAACTTGTTCTTCCGGTCACGGATATCCTATGCGTTCATCCGTCTGCTCGTCCACCAGGTGTTCACACTGGCAACAATAAATACTAGCTCAGGTTCTTCAATGCTATTGAGGCATTGACATAACCAGCAGTCATTCAGTAAATAGCAAGAAAGGTGAGGTTAATTTAAATGATTTTTCCCCCTTCAGGGAGAACAGACACTTAAAAGGAGGAAAATGTAGGTGGAGGCAAAGGTTTCGAGACGTGATCTTGGGATGTATCTATTTTGCGGTGCTTCTTCCAGGGACTGGGAATTGGCTCTGGAAGTCCTTATTTTGAGATCATCTACTTGTCCTGAGAGGAGTGATCTGGGTCTTGCTTGGGGTGGCTCACATGAACCCCAGATTTTCCTTTAATTTTGATGGCAGGGTAGGTCAGCAAGTATTTTGCAAGTTCTTTCCCAGTATGGTGACAGATCATGCTTCTGAAAATCTTCATGTATACCCAGTCTCCCAGTTGAAAGGGGTAGGAAGGCTTGTCAGTGGAGGCCATGCCTTTTTTTTTTTTTTTTACCTGTTGATGACTTTTTAGCTCTTACGTATAGCTAATCACAGCATTAAATTGTCTCTATGATCCCTCATTCTAGGAACAGAAATTTTAGAGATACCAGTAGGCATAGGATGATGAAAAATATTTCAAAAGGGGTTAATCCATGTCTCCTATTGAAAGTATTCTGGATTTTGACAGAGGACAGAGGTCATGCTTCTGACCATTTAAGTCCTTTCTTCACAGATTTTTCTAACGCCCTGGATTTTTACATTATACTTGCCTTTATGACTGAGAATGCTGTGAGGTATGAAATTGCAATGAGTGCCTCAGAGTTCTTGTAAGCAAGTAGTTTCTGCTATAAAACGAGTTCTGTGGTCTGATTTAGTCCATAAAGGAAGACTAAGACAAAAAAAGGTTATTAATTTCTTTACCAATGTTGTGGCATCAGGATGTCTAGTCGGATAGCATTCCATCCATTCACTAATCATGCAGACAATAACCACACAGAAAAATAGCCTGAAGCTGGTGGGAAATCTTAAAATCCACTTGGAGTGCTGCTGGGTCCAGGGTGAGCCTCGGAGGACAAACTGTCTTTGGGTTCCTTAATGTTCTCTCATCTGTACAGATGTCCCATCTGATTGATGGGAGGTAAGAACAAGTGAAGAGGGGGTACAGGATGTCCATTTGGCCCAGTGCACACTCTATCTGGTACATAACACTCTTTTATATCACTTTGTCTTTTTCAGATTGCAGGATAGTTGCCTGATAGTCAATAACATCATTGGGGATAAAAGCAGGTTTATAAATTAGTAGAGAAAGGATAGTGGGCCCATTT